AGCAGGACCAATATTTCACCATTATCAACATCCAATCATCCTTCAACATCCATCGTGTCATCACTATCACTAACATTCATATCTTTATCATCACTAACATCTGTATCTTTATCATTCTCATCTATAACAACATCATCAGGTATGTCATTACCATCACTAACACCACCATCTATGACAACATCATTGTAGATATCAGATGTGTCATCTTCATTTCATTCTAGGTTATAAACTTGGTAACCATAGCCATTAAAATCACCGTCCCTATCCTTAAAACCATTATCATCATCATCTTCATCATCATCATCATCATCGTCATCTTCCCTCATATTATCTTCATCATAAACTTGGTAACCATAGCCATTAAAATCACCGTCCCTATCCTTAAAACCATTATCATCATCATCTTCATCATCATCATCATCATCATCGTCATCTTCCCTCATATTATCTTCATCATAAACTTGGTAACCATAGCCATTAAAATCACCGTCCCTATCCTTAAAACCATTATCATCATCATCTTCATCATCATCATCATCGTCATCTTCCCTCATATTATCTTCATCATAAACTTGGTAACCATAGCCATTAAAATCACCGTCCCTATCCTTAAAACCATTATCATCATCATCTTCATCATCATCATCATCGTCATCTTCCCTCATATTATCTTCATCATAATAATCATCCTCGGAATAACGGATAAAGTATTTTTTAGGAAGAAGATCAAACAGTAAGATCTTCCTCACCACAGGTATAGTTAAGTCAAGTTGTTCAACTTTTTCCTTTATTTCTAGTCCCAATTTCTGTCTGATGAGTCTTACGCACTTCTCTTGAAGAGATAAGTTAAAACATGCTAACTTGAATTTCTCCCTGTTTATTGAGTGAGCCATTCCACCTTGTCCATCTTGCTCATCCTCCATTTTGAAATTAACGGTCGAAACAATCTCTTCTTCTGGAGCGCCACTTCGATAAATTAGTTGTCTAAGTTTATTTCTCTCTTTACTGTCAAAATCCTCTAAATGAACATCGTCATTGTAGAAATTGGTTTCAGTAGATACAGACTGAAGATGCTGAAGACAGCAGTTTTCAGCAACTAAATATCTTATTAAATCAACAGTTTTCTCTGGTTCAAAAAAGGTAGGGAAAAGTAAAGCTCGCTGTATCAGTGTATTGCCATCTGGTCCTGGTAAATTCAGAAGTTTATGGCCACCTCTCATCAAAAACATTTTCACAAAATGTCTACTATAATCAAGGTCTAGATATTGTAAAGCAGATGTGTCATATTTGGTTTCTAAAATACTGATATTTGAGCCCAATTCAAGTAGTAAACGTAAAATAAATTTATTATTTTTCTTGGCCGCTAAAATCAAAGCAGTATTTCCATTATTGTCCTGACTATTAATATTTCCACCAGCATCAAGTAAAAGTATAACACATTCTTGAAAAGTTTTATAGTGTTCACTCAGTGAATCGTCCATCAAATTTCCAGCTTGGTTCAGTCTAGACTTAGATAATAGGCACCCGATTACAGCACTGTGTATGGCTGTATGACCTTTATTGTTCTGTATATTAACATCACATGTAGGACTGTATTTCGTTATCAAGTTCAGGTATTTATGGTTCAATAAGAAAGCACCAATAATAAGAGGAGTGTTAGTTAAAGAATCATGATTTATATCAATATTATAATTAAACAATCAATTAAACTTCTCTGGTGTAAACTCATATTTCACTTGGGCCAAGAGATGAAAAATATTTCGATTTGTTGTTTCAGTAAAACTATCCACTAATGGCTTTAATCCTATATAATACTCAAAAATATTTAATTGACCGAATTTCATAATATCGTACAATAGTTCGGGACCATTAGCAACCAAATTAGCACCAGACTCGACTAAAAGTTGAAAGATTGCCAGAGTAGTTCTAAAATCTCTTTTTCTAACCCAGATTACACCATCTTCATCCTTTTTCGTTTTTACAAAACAATGTCTACAAGCTGATAAACCCAGATCATTAGTTCTATTTACATTAACAATATCTACAAGCACTAATTTAACAATATCTATATAGTGGGCGTATTGGGCGGCATACATTAAAGGCGTTGTTGTTTTGACACTCTGGGTAGGATCAGCCCCTTTTTGTAGTAATAATGATATAATACCTTCACATGTATCTTTATCACCATGTTCTTCTATAGCACACGTTAAAGGTGAGTTATACCTGTCAACCAGGTTGAAGTCAGCACCGTGTTGTAATAATAATGATATAATACCAACACATGTTTCTTTATCACCATGGTGATATATAGCCCCTGTTAAATGTGATCTACCCAACCCGTCAACCAGGTTAACATCAGCACCATGTTTTAGTAATAATGATATAAAACCTAAACATGTGTCTTTATCACCATGGTCATATATAGCACATGTTAAAGGTGATCTATGCAACCCGTCAACCAGGTTAACATCAGCACCGTGTTTTAGTAATAATGATATAATACCTAAACATATGTATCTTTATCACCAAGGTATCGTATAGCACATGTTAAAGGTGTGAGATACCCGTCAATCTGATTAACATCAGCACCGTGTTTTAGTAATAATGATATAATACCTAAACATGTATCTTTATCACCATGGTAGTCTATAGCACATGTTAAAGGTGATCTATGCAACCCCTCAACCAGGTTAACATCAGCACCGTGTTTTAGTAATAATGATATAATACCTAAACATGTATCTTTATCACCATGGTAGTCTATAGCACATGTTAAAGGTGAGTAACTCAACCTGTCAATCTGATTAACATCAGCACCATGTTGTAGTAATAATGATATATTACCTTCACATGTATCTTTATCACCATGGTGTTCTATAGCACATGTTAAAGGTGAGTTATACTCGTCAATCTGATTAACATCAGCACCGTGTTGTAGTAATAATGATATAATACCTACGCATGTATCTTTATCGCCATGCTTAACAATAACATATCGTAATGAATTATTTAGATTGAACTCGTCGAATTCAGCTCCAGCTTCTGTTAGAATGTTAATACAGTTTAAACATTCGACAACATCATCAGTGTTTTCTATACAGTCATATAACGCAGTGTGACCAGATTTAGATTTATAATTAATCATGTTCTTGATTGTATCATTACTTAAAAGAATTGACAACATTTTACCAGATTTAGCAAACATTAATATAGTTTTATCAGAGTCTAGATTGAGATTTAAATCAGAAATTGTTAAAAGATATTTAATAATATTGAAACTGTTATACTTAACAGATTCTAACAAAGCATTCCATACTTTATTGTCATGTTCAACCTGTAAATATAATTTCTTACTACAGAGATACTCAATACCTTCAACAAAATCTGATTTTATAGCACATGTCATTAACTGTATATTCAAATTAATATCAAGTTGACCATCAGATTGTAATATTATAATATTATTAAATAAACACTTAACAACTGGTAAATATCTTCTCTCTAATGATTGACAGGTTAAACTTATAATGACGTCTTGTAGTCTTCTGACGTCATCTGGCTGTAGTTCTTTTAATATGGTCTCCGTTAGATCAATGTTGACGTCATCAACAGCTTGAGATAATCTGTAAAACATGAAAATATTGATGATTATGTCAAAGATTAAGCATGTTATTTCTTTTTTAAAAGGGTAGTTAATCCAAACAGTCTTATCTTTTAATTGTTATAATAGTCATTCACCTGTATCTGTTACTACGTCAAATTAGTCAAACTTTGTTCTAACGCAATAATTTATAAAGTGCAAAAAGTGTAAAATTCTGAAGGTAGGGTGATAATTCGTCCCATATTGTATAATCTTCATTGGTTACCTATCTCCTTTAGAGGTAAAGGGACCATGTCGATTTTAACAGAATCTCAGAAATATATTAGTCCGTGTAGGCCTACGTATGAAATTTAGGCGCCGAAATAGGCCCATAGAGGAATGGTGTATTTAACATCTCTCAAAATTTCAGTTCAAAATATTGAGTCGTTTGGACGTGAACGTCAAAACCGCTTATCCGGACACGTAACCATTTTAAGATTTCGGTTCAATTTTTTTCGTTTGGTGACCTGATACCTATTGCCTTTCCTTTAGAGATTTATACAGTGCATGTCGCACGTGCTGTACTTGATAACGAAAGATATATTTTACCTACAGAAAGTTCATGAAATAAAAGTCTGAAAACCACAACACAATTTATATGGAATACAATCACTGGTTTATACACATATAGCACGACGTTATTTTCCAATCAAATTCATGGTAAGCCTATTTCATATTGCTGGAGGGTCAGTCTATAAACGAAGAATTTCAGAAATTAGGTTCAAGTTGAAGACTCAAGGAACTCAAGACTCAAGGAAGACATCATTATGAAAATCAATGTGGAGGTTTTGAAATTGGTTTCATATGACATTTTGCGTTCATACAAACTATAGCTTATCGTTCCATTAGCAAAGCCTTAGGTTATCTCCCTTGATATTTGGTACAATTCGCAAATCCCTCGGTTATTGGTGGGGGGGGGATGGTTAGCACGTGCGCGCTGTATCATAAGGTCTGTCATTGACTCAACTGGCGGCGTTTCGATTCCCTGGTTGTACGTGACAAGGAATAGGGTCGCCTGTCCAACCTCATGGGTTTTCTCTGGGTCCTCTGGTTTTTTTTCCCACTGCTAAGAACACACAACTGAATCATAAAATAAAATTGAACCATGTGTTAGTCCCGAAATGTTCTATTTTGTGTTGAGTGGATGTTAAACCCCCTTTTTTTCCTCTCCCCCCTTCTCTTTCTCTCCTCATCTCCTTTACCTCAGATTATTTCGCTTGATATTGGGTACCATTAGCAAATCCCCAAATCCCCCTTGATATTGGATATTTAACCCTCATGTTATCCCCCTTAATATTGGATACCACCATTAACAAAGCCTTGGGTTATCTCCCTTGGTATTTGATACGGACTAAGACTAGTAATTATTTCCCTTTATTTCATGATGGACGAATGTAGTGCGAGTTATAAATAGACAATTTTTCCCTTAATTTTTTTCTCCCCTCTTCCTGCATTTTTGGGTTGACTTTTTGGTCTAGAATTGGAGAAAAGGGATCAAATTTGCAATTTCATAGCAGTTTTGTGTAATACTGATGATATTACAGCGGAGGGATAGGGGGTGTAAAGTGTCTTTCTGCAGAGCAATCATTGTGTCGGAAGTGAGATTTCCACCCCTGTCAACTTCAAATCTGTGTAGCAAAAAATCTAAATGGTCAACCCCCTACAAAATTATGATGAGGAGATTGCCAAATGTTGTCCCCATTGTGCCTATAAAGATTGGAACCAACGGAATGTTGAGCAAAAAGCTACAGCCTGTGATGTTACAGTCATTTAACATTGAAGTCAATGGGCAAATAATTGCTAGTCTGAGTCCTGATGAAATAATGAAGCATGGCCGACTCGGGATGTTGATATTTTTTCAACGGCTTGTTTCCTGAAGTTTTGAATGGAAAGTGTCAGAAATGGTAAGAATACTGCTTTTTTATTGCCCAGCAGTAAGTTTTTTGACTATTTGGTATCAAAATAGCCATGATTGGGGGTATCCGTTGGTTGAGTGTGAATTTTGGGTTGTAAATGTGTAACATTTTGTTCACAATGATATCAAAACATGGTTAGGTCTAAATATTAAGGCCAACTCAACTGCAGATTTGGTCTAAAGTCACGAGATGTAAACAAGACTGACCCTAACCCTAACCCAAGACCCAGTCCTTACCCTAACCCTAACCCACAATCTTGTCAAAAAGCATGTAGCCTAGGCCTAAGCCAAGACCTAGTCCTGACCCTAGCCCAAACCCACAATTGTGTCACAAAATCATGTGCCCTAACCCTATTTACATGTTGTGACCTTGAACGAAGTCTGCAGCTGGCCTTAACATTTAGACCTAACATGTTTTTGACATCATACAATGAAATGTTAACATGTACACTCCAAAATTCACACCTGTGTGACTTTTGATCAAACATGCAGTTGGCCTTAATATTTAGACCGAACCTTAAAACATGGCATCTACCTTTGAGATTGGCTTAGACTTATGTGACACTCAAGGTTTACTTTTTTACTGACTGTTAACTGGTTTCTTTTTGGAGGGCCAGTGACGGGCTGTTCGCTAGAAATAAAGAGGTTTATTTCTATTTCCAGTTGAAACCATATTTTTTTCTTATTTTCTCACTGTTTTTTATTGCATATTTATCCCCAGCCTCCTATCATTTCAGGTGCCCAGGTAATGTTTCATAGAGTGGAATGATTGACCTCAACACAAGTATTAAAAAAAAAGAAGCAAAACAGGTGAGATAAATGTGCATTTCATACACTTTAAGAAGTACATCCAACCTGATCCCTGCTTCTGCTCACTAATAGTAATGGGCTGGAAATTTGGTACTGCACAGGCCTGTCTTCTCCCCTTGACATTTAACTGAATGACAGAATTCCACATTTTGACCATTTTCTGGATGTCAATGACCATTTCCCTGGATAGTATTCGCCCCAGAATTCTCATTCTCATCCAAATTTAACATTTCAGGTCTACATCTCAAAACCTGATCTCTTCCTGAACTGGCTTTAGGAGAACGATGATGCATATCAATTTCATCCCTGATCTCTATGACACCTGTGGTGGAAGTGGAGGGCAAATCGTAATCAGTTTGGGTTCCAGCCCCGAGGACTTTTGTAAACTTTGCTTTTTGGTGATGACTTAATTTCCGAGCTTGAAAAGGACGCTTGTGTGTTTATCATGGCCTCTCATATTGGAAGATAACATTAATGGCTTGTGTGTTGATCGACGGTTGTGCATATCTCTTGGTCAGGAAAGTTGTAGGCACCATCGCCATTGTAAATCATTTGACAGGCCCGAGTGAACGGGGCGACCTATGATTGGTCAGCAATGTATCAGATTCCATACCGGGGGGTGGGGATGAAAAAACTGTTGTAGTGTTACATAATCAGATTATTTCAACTTACTTATCCTGTGGAAATACAGCTATATAGGAGATATTTTGAAATTCATAGGCACTGCATGTTTCAACATTTTAGATTTGACCACAATTTGGCACTTGAAACTATGTTAACAGAGAAAAACTGTGTGGTTTTCGATGAAAGTGTTAAAAGTCTAATATTGCATCATGATTACTGTTTTAAAGTATTTTCGTGTTTGATTTATATTGAATTCATCTCATCTTTTTGAAGAATGCATTTATGTTCAAAAATAAAAATGTTCTGTGGAATTCAAAATTGATGTGCTTTTAAATTATCAGATTCCAAACTGGGGGGTGGGGATGAAAAAGCTGTTGTAGTGTTACATAATCAGATTATTTCAACTTACTTATCCTATGGAAATACAGCTATATAGGAGATATTTTAAAATTGATAGGCACTGCATGTTTCAACATTTTAGATTTGACCACAATTTGGCACTTGAAACTACGTTAACAGAGAAAAACTGTGTGGTTTTCGATGAAAGTGTTAAAAAGTCTAATATTGCATCATGATTACTGTTTTAAAGTACTTTCGTGTTAGATTTATATTGAATTTATCTCATCTTTTTACAGAATGCATTTATGTTCAAAAATAAAAATATTCTGTTTAATTCAAAATTCATGTGCTTTTAAATTTCTGTCTGAAATTCCGCAGTTTTCTGATGTATTATAGTGTTTGCAGAATGCCGCACAGCTCATCTGAAAATGCATAGATTTTCATATTCTTTGGCCAGGGAATTGCATATATGTTTGTTTATTAGATAACAACAGATTTGTTTAAACTGCAGAAACATGTGAGGTATATAGGACTAAGACTAGTAATTATTTCCCCTTATTTCATGATGGACGAATGTAGTGCGAGTTATAAATAGACAATTTTTCCCTTAATTTTTTTCTCCCCTCTTCCTGCATTTTTGGGTTGACTTTTTGGTCTAGAATTGGAGAAAAGGGATCAAATTTGCAATTTCATAGCAGTTTTGGGTAATACTGATGATATTACAGCGGAGGGATAGGGGGTGTAAAGTGTCTTTCTGCAGAGCAATCATTGTGTCGGAAGTGAGATTTCCACCCCTGTCAACTTCAAATCTGTGTAGCAAAAAATCTAAATGGTCAACCCCCTACAAAATTATGATGAGGAGATTGCCAAATGTTGTCCCCATTGTGCCTATAAAGATTGGAACCAACGGAATGTTGAGCAAAAAGCTACAGCCTGTGATGTTACAGTCATTTAGCATTGAAGTCAATGGGCAAATAATTGCTAGTCTGAGTCCATACGAAACCCTTTGGTTATCCCCCCTTGATATTGGATACTGTACCTGAGGTGGCAACCATCAGCAACAAAAGAACAAGAATCATCAACCCGATGAAAACCTTCACGCCTTCTTCTCTATCCTTATGAATAAACTCTAAAATCCCCGAAATTCGACTTGCCATGATCCTCGCGCATCCGACGTCATCTGCTGCCTGTCTATCAGGTTTTACATCCGGTAGCCATATAAGGACATACAGAATTAATACAACAAGAAGTCCAGTCGTAAAACTGAAGGTAAAAACAAAACCCAGTCGATCAACCATTAGTCCCGAACAAAACACACCAATTGTTCCCGCTAGAAATATCATCGCTTCAACGACTGAAACACGGACAGTTTTCGATTTGTCTGCAGATATGTTTGTTATGTAGCTATAAATAACCATCATCATCGCCGTAAACGATCCGCCACATCCACCAATAATTGAACCAATCAACAAGTAGCTTGCATCCAGATCGACGTAAACACTGTTTAATAAGTTAGTAACATTTGCAAATACTCCAAAACCCGCTGTAATTAAAATGGCTGCTTTATGGCTGACATGATCAACCAGTGGGCTGAGAAAAAACAAAACGACCAGACACGATGGTACCAAACCGGCGACATTATTCATCAAAATCCAATGTGACGTCTCTGACTGAACAAAGTCTTCTTCGTCTCGATATTCCGACATATTTGCTGAACTGTGTTTCAAATTTTGACAGAAAGTTTTATTATATTGTTGGACACAGACTTTACTGTAAATGAGAGCTTGGAATGCTGGGAAGGTAATGAACACGGCCATCATGTAGAAGAACATCACAGGTTCCACCGTGACGCGGAAATGAGAACAAGACAACACCATCTTGGTTCAGAGATGTCGAAGTGTCAAACTGTCAATCACATCATCCTAAAATACAACAGTGAAAAGTCAAATTATATGTTATATTATGTAATCTTTGAGTGGCATTTAGCGATCGGGAAACACATTTTTATGTGATACAATCAGTAGTTTTGTTCTAAAAGCATGACGTGTTGGGGTGTTTAGGGGTGTTTAGCAGTGGGAGAAAACTGCAGCCCGAAGAAAACCCACAAGGTCACCTGTCCAATCACGTGGGTTTTCTCCGGGTCCTCCAGTTTCTTCCCACTGCTAAACACCCCTAAACGCAAGCGAATTAATGAAATAAAAATGAACCACGTTAGTCCCGAAATAATCTAGTTTGTGTTGGGTGGTCGTTAAACCTCATTTCCCTTCTCTCTTTCTCCGCTCTGACTGGGCTAATGAAGACGGGCATACACCATGGCATACAGTGTGCTATGATGGAAATTTTCCATGACAATGGCATTATATGGCCTACACATTTATTGAATTCCAACTGCCACAGGATCTTTTTATGTACACGACAATATATATATACACGGGACCTCAGTTATCTGCTCCATCCGAACAACTCAACAGTACAGCTGTTCTTGTCAGCCCCCCCCCCCCCCCCCGTCCTGAACAACTGAAAAGGGGAAACCACGTTGGAAAATCCTGATGAACTTTAAGTTTTTTGGCCAATACAGGGATCGAATGCACAATATGAGGGAAATTTTGCCCAAACAGTAAATAAATTCCAACTGTCAAGGGTCATGGGCTTAATTAGTTCAGCTCTGGGGGAGTGTAATGTGACCTACGTTCAGAGCTGAACTAGGGGTTCATTTACATGCATGGGACAACATCTGGGTTTTTTTCCATGTCAGTTTGTCACCAACTGATAAACACTTTTTCTTACTGGTGATCAAGTTGTCAGCACCTTAATTAATTGCTTCAAGCCACTACCTGCTACAAGAAAAGGTGTTTGGAAAAAATGCTGTTGACAGATGAGGTACTAAAGTTCCGGTAATAACGAAATATTCACCAGTAAATGGCTATTTTTATGTGACTTTAGAAGTTATAGGCCTGGGGGCGGAGGCCCTATATTCACGTGTAATATTCAACAATATATTATCATTACCTACCTGTGTAGCTTGTTCTAGATTGTCCAGATAGCATGTCAGAAGATTTACTTTACGAAGATCGATACCAATAATCCCATGTTAAAGGAGCTAAGTCGCTAATAATTGGGACCTAGAAATTGACACAAATGGGTCGCAACGCATACAATAATGTAATATGAATGTATATAAATTGATTTACATTCAATCGTTTCTTTTTTACTGTAATTTCTAATCAGTTAGGTTCGGCGACATACGCCAGTATTTTCAATCGAATGTCAATCTCTAGCATCTGGTTATTCCAGTCTACGCCGATAGTATTTATTGGGCATGCTCTCCAGATAAGAATATAGCGTCACCGTTTGACATGACTTGTGGAATATGCCTAGCCTCGTTTTTAAAGTCCCTTATTACAAATAGCACTGAAACGCATTATGGTACACGATTCGTGTACCAATTGTAAAATGTTTATTTTGTCTTAAATATTGGATATCAGAAGGCCATCTTTTCCCGGTAATATCACAACATCAATGTTGATTTAAATCGACAAATAAATCGTGTTTTAAATGTCGAAGATTTTGGATGATATTGAGTTAGAGACTTAGCTACTTTAATCGCACTTACTGCATTAAGTAATTCGACCCTTAACTACTTCATATAATAAAGTGAAAGTCTTCTAAAGTCAAGCCACGGTTTCATTATTATTATCCTTTCAACCTCTCACGGAACTGAATGTTTGGAAGATAACTCTTAACTTCAACCCGGATACAGACCACTATTAGTTTCTCCACCATTCTTATTTTCTTAATAATATTCATAAATAAATAAATTACCCGAATTTTAGATGTAATCCGCTGACATACCTTGCTTTGGCGAGACATTCATACCTAGTGGCACTGCTATATATTCTTCTATGAAATGATATGGGGATGATTTAACGTTATATTGTTCTTCACGCGGATCGGAATTCAAGAACGATAACTTCTTTTAAGGGAGAAAATCATAAATCACATTTTATTTAATATCTTTCAAAAATAAACATTTAATATCCTAAAAGACATAGCAAATTAAAGAGACTAAAAATTAATGTTGAATAACAGAAATGTCTTTTTCGTGTTTTAAAAATGTTATTTAAACCAAAAGGATGATTAAATCTCTTTTACCACCACAAAAAAATGCAAATGTTCTAAAGTATTCACCGCGCGTGTCAATAGTTGTTATGACGACAATATATACCCACATATTGTACGCCCACCAGCAGCTAAGTCGTTAAGACAAAGAATATTTGTAATCCACTTAAGTGGGTTAATATTAAAATTACATCAGGTATCTAATCCCAAGAGAGAGATAAATGGGGTTTAACGTCCACCCGACACAAACCAGGTCGTTTCTGGACTAACATATGGTTTATTTTTTTTTTTTCAATAATTCGCTTGCGCGTAGGGGTCTTTAGCAGTGGGAGGACCCGGAGAAAACTCGCGAGTTTGGACAGGCGAGCCTACTCCTTGTCACGTACAGCCGGGGAATCGAAACCACGCCAGTTGACTCAATGACAGACTTTATGATACAGTGCACACACGCTAACCATTCAGCCATTCAGCCATCCACCCCCCCCACCCGGTTACTAATCGTAAATTGCTGAGGGTTGTTTGAAACAGTATTAATTTCGAGATAGATTATTATACAATATAATGGCATAAAGAAATAAACTGGGTTTTAACGTCCTACTGTTTTGCTTCGAACTGGGCTAATGAAGACGGGCATACGCCATACAGTGTGCTACGAGGGACAGCGGCAATATGGCCTACTCTTATATCGAATTCCAACTGTCAAGGGATCTTTTACGTGCACGCCAATGTGTACACGGGACCTCGGTTTTTCGTATCATCCGGGTGACTAGACAGCTGTCCTTGTCAGGCTCTCCGTCCTGCATCACTGACAAGGAGGGACCGACCACGCCGGAAAATCTGGGTGAGCTTTCTCGGCCAATGCAGGGATCGAACACCCGACCTCCAGACTAGCGAGCCAGCATCTTACCCAGTTAGTCACATGATCCCCATACGCTGATGAAATAATTATTATTTTTTACAGTTTTAAGACCAAAATAAATGATACGCGAGCAAACTAGGTCATTTCGGGACTAACACATTCACGTGCTAACCACTCGGCCATCCAATCCCCCATGGTACAAATAAGTAGATAAGTAATTTTGAATAAATAAATAAATAGAAAATAGATAAATAAGAATTAATAAATAAATAAAATAAAATAAAAATAATAGAGTGTTGATTATTGGTTTCGCAAGTGAATAAATATCTTAATAACAAATTATTTTTAGACCAATCTCAAGATCTGCAATTTGGCTTCACAAGTGAATAAATGGTTTATGACAGTTTTTCTCATTTTTTAGAGCAAAACTACATCGCAGTAGACTTATTTCATAAAATTAATAAAACAATAATATGTACCCGATCAGACATAATGATTGTGTAGCAATAATATTTTCAGTAAGTGGGAAAAACGTCAATCAGTCAGGAGGGTATACCGAAATTAGACCGGGGTGCTACGGCGACGGAAAATGGTTTCAGAGCGCGTCAAGATAGCCATAAGCGTGGTAAAAACGCCAGATATCGTGCTGTGGTCTCCATGGTCACCAATGATCCCCGAATCACGGCGTTTGCTTTGAGCATGTTCAATACAAACGCCAAAGGCGCTGAGATCTGACCTAGAAAGCTGTGAGAACGTGGCTTTTTTCAAGTTTGTAATTTTTGGGGACATTTTCTCGCGTTGTGTTCCCGTTTGCTGGCGACTTTGTCCATTTTCTGGTCGCCCTAAGGTCGCCGCAGGACGCTACCCGGGTCTGACCGGGGCATAATTGGTAGTTGAATAGCTAGCCGGATGTAGACACCCCCAAGAAAATTTTGGAATATTTGACGGCCGCAAACGCGTTTTCCTGCTATTCCAGCACGCACGTAAAATTAATGTTTTATTAGTTTCCGGACACTTTTTCTTTGCCGTGTAGATGAAATTTTTTTTTTATCACTTTACCCGTCTGCCTGAAAAGTCAGATTGCCCGAAAGTTAGGGGGGCAGCTGCCCTGCCACCCTGCCCCCCCCACCCCCTGGCTCGTACGCCTATGCAAACTAAAATCTCCAAGTCCAATAGACAGATTTAGCTCTTACATAATACATCGTTAAAGTTTACAGCGCAGTGGACGCTCACGGGTATCCGAGGAGTCACTCATTTCATTTGATATTGTTTTGTCCGCAGGTTTGTCTTGAACGTTTTACTTTACGTGTAGTGTCGTTTTCCAGCACGTATTATTTGTAACTGAACATGCGTTATTTTACACTAAACGCAGTAAACGCTTGAGAACTATGGCGGTATATTAGATTCAAAATTTTAACATGCTATCGTCTAATTTCTAACTTCAGTTCATGTAATTTTTAACTTCTATTCATGTAACTTCTAACTTCTTTATTTCAGAGGCGGATTTAAGGGGATGGGGGCGAGGGGCGCCCCCCCCCCTAATTTTCGACAGTGCATTTTTTTACTGCTGAAAGTGCCCTTTCTCAGACCCAAATATGTCCGTTCCCAACCCGTTGCAGGGATCCCAAATGACCCAAACCATCGATTCAAACACACCAGTCTGGTCAAATTAATGCTTTCACTTTCAAACGAATTCTTGTTGTTTAGCTGACGGTGCCCTAATCCTATAGAGTGGCTATAGACAGATATCTTGTGGAATCGGCGGCGAATACACTCATGCCCTTCACCGACGCGCATGAGTGCAACTTGATGTAGCATTGTTTCATGTGTGGACAGTACAAAGTACAAGTTACAAGGCTTAAATAGTGAAGTGGCTAGGGAATAGATTCGTCTTTTTTCCCATCATAATGCCTCGCTCGCATTGACAATTTTCGAGTCGCATGTTCAACTGGCTTTTTTGCTCGATTTTAAGGCTATTTTTCAACGATTTCCGAACGTTTACTTAGACGACAATATCAGCCAAATAGCTCTTGGAATGGCTACAGATGCAAGGAAATGACGGATTATTTTCTTGGGGACTCCCCCCCCCCACCAAAAAGAAAATCCCCTCTCAGCGGCGTGCCCCGTCTCCGCGGTCAGTGCCCTTATTTTGCGGCGCCCCCCCTTTTCAAAATTCCTAGATCCGCCCCTGTATTTGTTCAGTGTAAATTTTAATTCTATTTCATCTTTTTTCTATTATTTAGACGAAAAACGTCTTCTTCATTGACGCTTTACACGTTTAGCATCAACATCAACGAATTTAGAATTTTTACACTTCAGCCTAGCTCACTGCGTGCTCATTTGGTGATTGCGCACCCGGTCGGGACCATTATGTTGATATAAACGATTCGTTCTTCGTCTGGTTGAATGTTGGAAGGAGTGCTGAAATTTGGAGAGAGAGAGAGAGAGAGAGAGAGAGAGAGAGAGAGATGGGCTTGATAAAGACGACAGTATTCTCGTCGAAACGTCGCTTAGTATTAAACTCAGTAATTGTACCTTATGCTAATATAGACCAACAGAATATAAATATTAATTGGCTCAACTGTAAAAAAAAAAATCAAATAAAATTCTCCAAATACTGCACTTAAAAAAAAAAACAAATACTGTTAATTTAGCTTATATTTGAAATAATATTTCCAAACCATATAACGTTCGATGTGGGTTGGATGACCGAATGGTTAGCACGTGCGTGCTGTATCACAAGGGCTGTCATTGACTCAAGGAGTAGGGTCGCCTGTCCATCCTCTTGGGTTTTCTCTGGCTCCCCCGGTTTCCTCCCACTGCTAAAGACCCCTACGCGCAAGCGTACCGGAACTGGATGTGGGCGTGATAAAATGTGACGTTCTGGAACTGGATGTGGACGGGATAAAGCGCGCTGTACTTGGACTAGACTGTATGTGCGCAAGATAAATCATGACAAAACGGAACTGGATGAGGGCGAGATGACGAATGTTGTACCTGGACTTTGATGTGGGCGAAGAAAAGAGTATTGTACCTGGACTGGATGTGGGCAAAATAAAGCGTACTGAACATTTGACTGGGTGTGGGCAAGAAAAAGATTGCTATACTGGGAATTGATGTGGGCGAGATCAAGCGTGTCATACCGGGAAGTTTTAGTCGAAGACGGGAACGAGTGAAATAATTTGCCTTTTAAAACACAAAAATTTATCATATCTGCATTTATTATACAGCATTAAACATGAACATATAATAACATGGTGGTGATAAACCATTAATAATAATAATGTGGTGATAAACTATTAATAATAACATGGTGGTGATAAACCATTAATAATAACATGGTGCTGATAAACTATTAATAATAACCTGGTGGTGATAAACCATTTATAATAACACGGTGGTGATAAACTATTAATAATAACACGGTGGTGATAAACCATTAATAATAACATGGTGGTGATAGACCGTTAATAATAACACGGTGGTGATAAACTATTAATAATAACATGGTGGTGATAAACCATTAATAATAACATGGTGGCAATAAACCATTAATAATAACATTGTGGTGATAGACCATTAATAATAACACGGTACTGATATACTATTAATAATAACACGGTGGTGATAAACCATTAATAATAACATGGTGGTGATAGACCGTTAATAATAACACGGTGGTGATAAACTATTAATAATAACATGGTGGTGATAAACCATTAATAATAACATGGTGGCAATAAACCATTAATAATAACATTGTGGTGATAAACCATTAATAATAACATGATGGTGATAACACGGTGCTGAAAAATCATTAATAATAAAATGGTGCAGATAAACTATTAATAATTACATGGTGCTGATAAACCATTAATAATAACATGATGGTGATAAACCATTAATAATAACATGGTGGTGATAAACTATTAATAATAACATGGTGCTTATAAACCATTAATAATAACATGGTGGTGATAAACTATTAATAATAACATGGTGCTGATAAACCATTAATAATTAACATGGTGGTGATAAACTATTATTAATAACATGGTGGTGATAAACTATTAATAATAACATGGTGCTGATAGACCATTAATAATAACACAGTGGTGATAAACCATTAATAATAACACGGTGCTGATAATCCATTAATAACAACATGGTGGTGATAAACCATTAATAATAACATGGTGCTGATAAACCATTAATAATAACATGGTGTTGATAAACCATTAATAATAACATGGTGGTGATAAACCATTAATAATAACATGGTGGTGATAGACCATTAATAATAACATGGAGGTGATAAACTATTAATAATACCATGGTGGTGATAAACCATTAATAATAACATGGTGGTGATAAACCATTATTAATAACACGGTGGTGATAAACCATTAATAATAACATGGTGCTGATAAACCAGTAATGATAACATGGTGCTGACAAACTATTAATAATACCATGGTGGTGATAAACCATTAATAATAACATGGTGGTGACAAACTATTAATAATAACATGGTGGTGATAAACAATTAATAATAACATGGTGGTGATAAATTATTAATAATAACATGGTGGTGATAAACCATTAATAATAACACGGTGCTGATAAACTATTAATAATAACATGGTGCTGATAAACCATTAATAATAACATGGTGATAAACCATTAATAATAACATGGTGCTGACAAACCATTACTAATAACATGGTGGTGATAAACCATTAATAATAACATGGTGCTGACAAGTCATTACTAATAACATGGTGGTGATAAACCATTAATAATAACATGGTGCTACATGGTGCTGACAAGTCATTACTAATAACATGGTGGTGATAAACCATTAATAATAACATGGTGCTGATGAACCATTAATAATAACACGGTGATGATAAACCATTAATAATAACATGGCGGTGATAAACCATTAATAATAACACGGTGGTGATAAACCATTAATAATAACATGGTGGTGATAGACCATTAATAATAACACGGTGCTGATAAACCATTAATAATAACATGGTGCTGAATAGCCATTAATAATAACATGGTGGGGATAAATCATTAATAATAACACGGTGCTGATAAACTATTAATAATAACACGGTGGTGATAAACCATTAATAATAACATGGTAGTGATAAGCCATTAATAATTACATGATGGTGATAAACCATTAATAATAATATGGTGGGGTGATGATAAACCATTTATAATAACATTGTGTTGATAAACCATTAATAATAGCATGGTGGTGATAAACCATTAATAATAATAACATGGTGGTCCAGATCGTAGGAGTATATCATCATCATCATTATCATCATCCAATGCCCTTTCGAGATCAATTTCTTCGTCTGTAAGACGTACATCACAATGTCCCCCCGTATTTATTAACGCAATCGGTGTAGAAATGTAGGACGTTTTCCATCTTGACTCTGTAAAAATGTTATCCATTCTGATTAAGTAGGACTATATATGGATATCATCACTATTTGTGTTATACCCGCGACATGGTCACCCATCAACATTCACCTCTTCATCATCATTATCATTGGGCGAGATCAAGCGTGTCATACCGGGAAGTTTTAGTCGAAGACGGGAACGAGTGAAATAATTTGCCTTTTAAAACACAAAAATTTATCATATCTGCATTTATTATACAGCATTAAACATGAACATATAATAACATGGTGGTGATAAACCATTAATAATAATAATGTGGTGATAAACTATTAATAATAACATGGTGGTGATAAACCATTAATAATAACATGGTGCTGATAAACTATTAATAATAACCTGGTGGTGATAAACCATTTATAATAACACGGTGGTGATAAACTATTAATAATAACACGGTGGTGATAAACCATTAATAATAACATGGTGGTGATAGACCGTTAATAATAACACGGTGGTGATAAACTATTAATAATAACATGGTGGTGATAAACCATTAATAATAACATGGTGGCAATAAACCATTAATAATAACATTGTGGTGATAGACCATTAATAATAACACGGTACTGATATACTATTAATAATAACACGGTGGTGATAAACCATTAATAATAACATGGTGGTGATAGACCGTTAATAATAACACGGTGGTGATAAAGTATTAATAATAACATGGTGGTGATAAACCATTAATAATAACATGGTGGCAATAAACCATTAATAATAACATTGTGGTGATAAACCATTAATAATAACATGATGGTGATAACACGGTGCTGAAAAATCATTAATAATAAAATGGTGCAGATAAACTATTAATAATTACATGGTGCTGATAAACCATTAATAATAACATGATGGTGATAAACCATTAATAATAACATGGTGGTGATAAACTATTAATAATAACATGGTGCTTATAAACCATTAATAATAACATGGTGGTGATAAACTATTAATAATAACATGGTGCTGATAAACCATTAATAATTAACATGGTGGTGATAAACTATTATTAATAACATGGTGGTGATAAACTATTAATAATAACATGGTGCTGATAGACCATTAATAATAACACAGTGGTGATAAACCATTAATAATAACACGGTGCTGATAATCCATTAATAACAACATGGTTGTGATAAACCATTAATAATAACATGGTGCTGATAAACCATTAATAATAACATGGTGTTGATAAACCATTAATAATAACATGGTGGTGATAAACCATTAATAATAACATGGTGGTGATAGACCATTAATAATAACATGGAGGTGATAAACTATTAATAATACCATGGTGGTGATAAACCATTAATAATAACATGGTGGTGATAAACCATTATTAATAACACGGTGGTGATAAACCATTAATAATAACATGGTGCTGATAAACCAGTAATGATAACATGGTGCTGACAAACTATTAATAATACCATGGTGGTGATAAACCATTAATAATAACATGGTGGTGACAAACTATTAATAATAACATGGTGGTGATAAACAATTAATAATAACATGGTGGTGATAAATTATTAATAATAACATGGTGGTAATAAACCATTAATAATAACACGGTGCTGATAAACTATTAATAATAACATGGTGCTGATAAACCATTAATAATAACATGGTGATAAACCATTAATAATAACATGGTGCTGACAAACCATTACTAATAACATGGTGGTGATAAACCATTAATAATAACATGGTGCTGACAAGTCATTACTAATAACATGGTGGTGATAAACCATTAATAATAACATGGTGCTACATGGTGCTGACAAGTCATTACTAATAACATGGTGGTGATAAACCATTAATAATAACATGGTGCTGATGAACCATTAATAATAACACGGTGATGATAAACCATTAATAATAACATGGCGGTGATAAACCATTAATAATAACACGGTGGTGATAAACCATTAATAATAACATGGTGGTGATAGACCATTAATAATAACACGGTGCTGATAAACCATTAATAATAACATGGTGCTGAATAGCCATTAATAATAACATGGTGGGGATAAATCATTAATAATAACACGGTGCTGATAAACTATTAATAATAACACGGTGGTGATAAACCATTAATAATAACATGGTAGTGATAAGCCATTAATAATTACATGATGGTGATAAACCATTAATAATAATATGGTGGGGTGATGATAAACCATTTATAATAACATTGTGTTGATAAACCATTAATAATAGCATGGTGGTGATAAACCATTAATAATAATAACATGGTGGTCCAGATCGTAGGAGTATATCATCATCATCATTATCATCATCCAATGCCCTTTCGAGATCAATTTCTTCGTCTGTAAGACGTACATCACAATGTCCCCCCGTATTTATTAACGCAATCGGTGTAGAAATGTAGGACGTTTTCCATCTTGACTCTGTAAAAATGTTATCCATTCTGATTAAGTAGGACTATATATGGATATCATCACTATTTGTGTTATACCCGCGACATGGTCACCCATCAACATTCACCTCTTCATCATCATTATCATCATCCAATCATCCATCTTGTCCTGACCACTACTAACATCTGTTCTTTATAATCCTAATCTACAACAACACCATCCTTCAACATCCATCCCCATCACTAACATCCATATCTTTATTATCCTCATCTATAACAAAATCATCCTTCAACATCCATCTTGTCATCACCATCACTAATATCCATATCTGTATCTTTCTCATCTATAACATCCATACCCTTCAACATCCATCATGTCATCACTATCACTAAAATCCGTACCCGTATCATCCTCGTCTATAACAACATCATCAGATATATCATCACTAACATCCGCACTAACATCGACCTCATCTATAACATCATCAGGTATGTCATCACCACCTAGATAAACTTGGTAATCGTAGCCGTCAAAATCATTATCGCTATCCCGGAAATCATCATCATCACCATCATCATCATCATCATCATCATCATCATCATCATCATCATCATCGGTATCTTCCCTCGTATTATCCTCATCATAATAATCATCCATGGAATAACGGATAAAGTATTTTTTAGGAAGAAGATCAACCAGTAAGATCTTCTTCACCAGAGGTTTAGGTATCTGTAGTTGTTCAACTTTCTTCTTTATTTCTAGTCCCAATTTCTGCCTGATGAGTCTTATACACTTTCCTTCAAGAGATAAGTTAAAACATACAAACTTGAATTTCTCCCTGTTTTCCGAGTAAAACATCTCATCTCCTCTATCTCGCGCATCCTCCATTTTGAAATTAACAGTGGAAACAATCTCTTCTTCTGGAGCCCCACTTCGATAAAGTAGTTGTCTAAGTTTATTTCTCTCTTTACTGTCAAAATCATCTAAATGAACATCGTCATTGTAGAAATTGGTTTCAGTAGATACAGATGTTAGATGCTGAAGGCAGCAGTTTTCGGCAACTAAATATCTTATTAGACCAACAGTTTTCTCTGGTTCAAAACATGTAGGGAAAAGTAAAGCTCGCTGTATCAGTGTATTGCCATCTGGTCCTGGTAAATTCAGAAGTTTATGGCCACCTCTCATCAAAAACATTTTCACAAAATGTCTACTATAATCAAGGTCTAGATATTGTAAAGCAGATGTGTCATATTTGTTTTCTAAAATACTGATATTTGAGCCCAATTCAAGTAGTAAACGTACAATAAATTTATCATTTTTCTTGGCCGCTAAGATCAAAGCAGTATTTCCATTATTGTCCTGACTATTAATATTTCCACCAGCATCAAGTAAAAGTATGACACATTCTTGAAAAGTTTTATAGTGTTCACTCAGTGAATCGTCCATCAAATTTCCAGTTTGGTTCAGTCTAGACTTAGATAATAGGCACCCGATTACAGCACTGTGTATGGCTGTATGACCTTTATTGTTTGGTATATTAACATCACGTGTAGGACTGTATTTTGTTATCAAGTCCAGGTATTTATGGTTCAATAAGAAAGCCCCAATAATAAGAGGAGTGTTAGTTAAAGAATCTTTATGATTTATATCAATATTATAATTAAACAACCAATTAAACTTCTCTGGTGTAAACTCATATTTCACTTGGGCCAAGAGATGAAAAATATTTCGATTGGTTGTTTCAGTAAAACTATCCACTAATGGCTTTAATCCTATATAATACTCAAAAATATTTAATTGACCGAATTTCATAATATCGTACAGTAGTTCGGGACCATTAGCAACCAAATTAGCACCAGACTCGACTAAAAGTTTAAAGATAGCCAGAGTAGTTTTAAAATCCCTTTTACTCACCCAGGTCCCATAATATTTACGTTTCGCCGTTTTTACAAAACAATGTCTACAAGCTGATAAACCCAGATCATTAGTTCTATTTACATTAACAATATCTACAAGCACTAATTTAACAATATCTATATAGTGGGCGTATTGGGCGGCATACATTAAAGGCGTTGTTGTTTCGACACTCTGGGTAGGATCAGCCCCTTTTTGTAGTAATAATGATATAATACCTAACCACGTATCTTTATCACCATGGAATTCTATAGCACATGTTAAAGGTGAGTGATAGAACCCGTCAACCTGATTAACATCAGCACCATGTTGTATTAATAATGATATAATACCTAAACAGGAATCTTTATCACCATGGTGTTCTATAGCACATGTTAAAGGTGATCTATCCCACCCGTCAATCTGATTAACATCAGCACCATGTTGTAGTAATAATGATATAATACCTAAATAGGTATCTTTATCACCATGTTGTAATATAGCAAATCTTAAAGGTGAGTACATATTAACATCAGCACCATGTTGTAGTAATAATGATATAATACCTAAACATGTATCTTTATCACCATGGTGTACTATAGCACATGTTAAAGGTGAGTTAAACCGGTCAAACAGGTTAACATCAGCACCGTGTTGTAGTAATAATGATATAATACCTAAACATGTATCTTTATCACGATGGTACCATATAGCACATGTTAAAGGTGAGTAATTCAACCCGTCAACCTGATTAACGTCAGCCCCATGTTGTAGTAATAATGATATAATACCTAAACATGTATCTTTATCACCATGGAATTCTATAGCACATGTTAAAGGTGAGTGATAGAACCAGTCAACCTGATTAACATCAGCACCATGTTGTATTAATAATGATATAATACCTAAACAGGAATCTTTATCACCATGGTGTTCTATAGCACATGTTAAAGGTGATCTATCCCACCCGTCAATCTGATTAACATCAGCACCATGTTGTAGTAATAATGATATAATACCTAAATAGGTATCTTTATCACCATGTTGTAATATAGCAAATCTTAAAGGTGAGTACATATTAACATCAGCACCATGTTGTAGTAATAATGATATAATACCCACACATGTATCTTTATCACCATGGTGTTTTATAGCACATGTTAAAGGTGACTTATACTCGTCAATCTGATTAACATCAGCACCATGTTGTAGTAATAATGATATAATACCTAAACAGGTATCTTTATCACCATGTTGTAGTATAGCACATGTTAAAGGTGATCTATCCCACCCGTCAATCTGATTAACATCAGCACCATGTTGTAGTAATAATGATATAATACCTAAATAGGTATCTTTATCACCATGTTGTAATATAGCAAATCTTAAAGGTGAGTACATATTAACATCAGCACCATGTTGTAGTAATAATGATATAATACCCACACATGTATCTTTATCACCATGGTGTTTTATAGCACATGTTAAAGGTGAGTAATTCAACCCGTCAACCTGATTAACGTCAGCCCCATGTTGTAGTAATAATGATATAATACCGTCACATGTATCTTTATCACCATGGTATTCTATAGCACATGTTAAAGGTGTGAGATACCCGTCAACCTGATTAACATCAGCACCATGTTGTAGTAATAATGATATAATACCTAAACAGGTATCTTTATCACCATGGTATTCTATAGCACATGTTAAAGGTGAGTTATACTCGTCAATCTGATTAACATCAGCACCATGTTGTAGTAATAATGATATAATACCTAAACAGGTATCTTTATCACCATGTTGTAGTATAGCACATGTTAAAGGTGTGAGATACCCGTCAACCTGATTAACGTCAGCACCGTGTTGTAGTAATAATGATATAATACCGTCACATGTATCTTTATTACCATACTTATAAATAACATATTGTAATGATTTATTTAGATTGAACTTGTCGAATTCAGCTCCAGCTTCTGTTAGAATGTTAATACAGTTTAAACATTCGGCAACATCATCAGTGTTTTCTATACAGTGATATAACACAGGGTGACCAGATTTAGATTTATAATTAATCATGTTCTTGATTTGATCATTACTTAAAAGAATTGACAACATTTTACCAGATTTAGCAAACATTAATATAGTTTTATCAGAGTCTAGATTGAGATTTAAATCAGAAATTGTTAAAAGATATTTAGTAATATTGAAACTGTTATACTTAACAGATTCTAACAAAGCATTCCATACTTTATTGTCATGTTCAACCTGTAAATATAATTTCTTACTATAGAGATACTGAATACCTTCAACAAAATCTGATTTTATAGCACATATCATTAACTGTATATTTAAATTAATATCAAGTTGACCATCAGATTGTAATATTATAATATTATTAAATAAACACTTAACAAGTGATAAATATCTTCTCTCTAATGATTGACAGGTTAAACTTATAATGACGTCTTGTAGTCTTCTGACGTCATCTGGCTGTAGTTCTTTTAATATGGTCTCCGTTAGATCAATGTTGACGTCATCAACAGCTTGAGATAATCTGTAAAACATGAAAATATTGATGATTATGTCAAAGATTAAGCATGTTATTTCTTTTTTAAAAGGGTAGTTAATCCAAACAGTCTTATCTTTTAATTGTTATAATAGTCATTCACCTGTATCTGTTACTACGTCAAATTAGTCAAACTTTGTTCTAACGCAATAATTTATAAAGTGCAAAAAGTGTAAAATTCTGAAGGTAGGGTGATAATTCGTCCCATATTGTATAATCTTCATTGGTTACCTATCTCCTTTAGAGGTAAAGGGACCATGTCGATTTTAACAGAATCTCAGAAATATATTAGTCCGTGTAGGCCTACGTATGAAATTTAGGCGCCGAAATAGGCCCATAGAGGAATGGTGTATTTAACATCTCTCAAAATTTCAGTTCAAAATATTGAGTCGTTTGGACGTGAACGTCAAAACCGCTTATCCGGACACGTAACCATTTTAAGATTTCGGTTCAATTTTTTTCGTTTGGTGACCTGATACCTATTGCCTTTCCTTTAGAGATTTATACAGTGCATGTCGCACGTGCTGTACTTGATAACGAAAGATATATTTTACCTACAGAAAGTTCATGAAATAAAAGTCTGAAAACCACAACACAATTTATATGGAATACAATCACTGGTTTATACACATATAGCACGACGTTACGACAATTATTCTCTTATCGTTATCAAGTACAAATGATAAATTAGCAAACTAAACTGGTTTCATCCAGACACCACATAATACGATGAAGACTGATGGGTTTAAGTTGTTTGAACATGTATCACGTATATTAAGTTAGTTGCGCGAGCCTAAGGTAGAGGATTTTAAGAGCCTTTAACACTAAATCAAGCAGTTTTATTCTCCAAAATATAATCGAGACTGATCCTTTAAGTTCATATACACGTTCTAACATACACGTATAGATACTTAAATAAACTCTGCCCCCCCCCCCCACCATATATGTCCCTCTTCAGTGGAACAAACTACATGTATGTGGTATTAGCCATGTTGACTCATAAAACAAAGAACAACACGTGGTATTAGCCATTTGAAATACTACCCCAAAAGAACCAGTTCATCGTGGCGTTATCTAAGAAAAATCTGAAAACTCACTTATTCTTAGAGGCTTTTCAACGGTAGTACATCATTTTAATTTATTTATAGCAATGATAGTTTATTTATATATATATATATATATATATATATATATATATATATAGAGAGAGAGAGAGAGAGAGAGAGAGAGAGAGAGAGAGAGAGAGAGAGATGAGGTTTTACGTCCACTCAAAGCAAACTAACATGATTCATCCTTATTTCAATAATTCGCTTGCGCGAAGGGGTCTTTAGCAAAGGCTGGAAACCGGAGGAACCGGAGAAAAACCCACGAGGTTGGACAGGCGACCACGTACAACCGGGGAATTGAAACCACACTAGTTAACTCAATGACAGACCTTATGATACAGCGCGCACGTGCTAACCATTCGGCCATCCAATCCCCCAGTTTATGAATAATAATAATAATAATAATAGTTATCCAACCTGTACATTATAAACGTTATAATAGATATTTACCTTTCCTGTATCTTCTGGAGTTCATGTTTTGGTTCGATATTCCCACTTTCACTTTCATCAGATAATTTTACTAGAAAACAATAAAAATGTAATAAGTCAAATATACCCCACCTATACAGTGGATCTGAATGATAGTTGACTAAACTGTTGTATAAAGTTGACAGATCAAGGACAAATATAGTTTTAATAATGCAATAGTTTCATAATATAACAGTAATACAGTATAACAATCGTTACAAGTTACTATTTCCATAATACAACAGTAATACAGAATAGCAATCGTTACAAGTAGAGAATTTAATTTGAAAGTTATCAATTTACCTATTTTAGTTGGTATCAGGTGTTCCATTTCATCATCACTCCCGTTTGAACTTTCTCTTTTAGCCGGTTTGTCATCTCGTGGTACATTGGTCTCATCCATTCTAAAACTGGAAATCTCTCAGATAAAACATAAAGAACAATAATAAAGTTTGTTTGGTTGACGGAAAGATGCATTGGTTCTTTGGGGGGGGGGGGCGAATGATTAACGCGTTGCATCATACGGTTTCCCCCCACTGGAGGAATGGTTATCGCGTGCGCGTTGCATCATAAGGTTTGTCATTGAGTTGTGGTCGCCTGTCCTACCTTCTACCTTTTCTCCGGGTCCACCGGTTTCCCCCAACTGTTAAAAAGCCGTAGCGAATTATTGAAATGAAACTGAACCATATGTTAGTCCCGAAATGACCTAATTTATGTCAAGTGGACGCTAAAACCCATTTCTCTCTTAATTAATTCGGGTTACTCGATTGCTTTATCAAGATGTCCTTACTTCCAGCCCGAGGGATTATTAGGACGGCGATTTTTGGTTTTCATATAAACTGAAATGAAATGAAATTGGATTTAACAGCCTACTACAACTAGAGCATCGGTACCGCTGCAATATACGTCCACATTACAGCTTTCATAGATATGGTACTTTTTAAAATGAAGAGAAAGAAATATAAAATGGCTGTAATATGAAAAGAGGAAAAGAGGTCTAGGCGTTGGGTTTGTTTTAGCAAATTTACAGAAAAAAAAAAATAGTTGCTGTCTTTACGGTATAAGGAATAAATATGCAAAGTTCCAAGATAATCCTTCCCCTTGTCAGTGATGCAGAACGGAGGGCCTGACAAGGACAGCTGCCTAGTCGTTCGGATGTGACGACAAACCGAGGTCCCGTGTACACATTGACGTGCACGTAAAAAATCCCTTGGGAGTTGGAATTCGATATAAGAGTAGGCCGTAGCGCCGCTGCCCGGGCAAAATTTCCCTCATAGCACACTGTATGGCGTATGCCCGTCTTCAATTAGCCCAGGTTAGGTGCAGAAGAGTAGGACGTTAAACCCCATTTCATTTCATTTCATTTCCAAGATAATCCATTCAGAATTGCAGTCTGTAGACCAGTAATTCTCAACTAGTGTGCCGCGAGCGAGATCTTCCAAAGTGTGTCGCGAAATTTTTAAAGGCACACTCAGAAAATGCGACAAACCACGTGATCCCAATTGCGTATTCACTGGTGTCTACTGCTAAGTTCATAGCTGTGTTTGAGGGTTTGGCATGGACCTGTAAATAACACAGACACACACAAAGAAAATAGGCGTGGCTCTGCCCCTGGGGGGCTAGGCATTCACCACAAACAATAGGCACTACTACATTGGTACCATATTAATATAAAGTAACGGAACGGACAACTGTATGCTGTATAAATGTATAAATGTTTAGTTTATATTTAAATCTGAAATAATTTTATATTTTGTATTTTTATATGTTCTTGTTTTATATAATATTATGTTCTGTATGTACATAAATTAAACTTATTTTTGTAAATTCTGGAAAGGAGTCAACATAGGCCCAGCCTGTTTTCCGATCCATTTTCAAATGAAATAAGAATAAGTATGCAAAGTTTTAAAATGATACGCTAAGAAACAAATACAAGAAATGGGCGCGGCTCTGCCCCTGGGGGTCGGGCATGCACCAAAAACAATAGGGGTCATCCTGAGGGTATAAGGAATAAGTATGTAAAGTTTCAAGATGATCACTTAAGAATTGCACACAAACACACCCGCACAGACAGAGGCGACGGCAATATACATCCACATTATTCGAACGGCTATATATTGCCCCTTTCCAGGCCCTCCGTCCTGCAATCCTGTCAAGGGACGCTATGAGCTATATCTTATATGAATGTAGTTAAATGTTATAATAGACTTACGACTGGCTTGAATTGTAGGTGGATGTATTTCAGAGAGGGTAAAATTAAAACCGCATCAGCATTAAAGGGACAATAACACTCTTGCTGGCTTGACAGCTCCAGAAAAGAAAAAATAGCCTTATTCTAAGTACTAGATGTTTAGGTGTCCCACCTCTTGTGTAAATTATTCATTACATCCTATTCTACTTGTCCATAGGGTTCGAAAATATTTTCAAATCCAAGTCACATTAAGTTTAATTTTTCCAATTTTTTAAATTAGGTGTGTTAAGATGAAATTTGTATCATCAATTAATTGGAATATTGTAAAATAGTACAATTTGTTGACCAGAATAAAGATTGGGACATATTATTCAGTTACAACAAGAGTGGTATTGAGACTTTAAGACACGGTTACGTAAATTTCCTGTTTAAATTCATTCATTAAATTATCTATAACCAATTTATTATATACCCAAAAATGGAGAATTACAACAAAAGTTTCTTATTAGCCAAGTGAATTCTGGGCGTGGCAGCAAAATCATTTCATCTACTCTACATGTAAATAACCCCATTAGAACTAACATTCAGAAATTATCATTTTCTCCTTTTATCTTTTAAATTAATTCCCTTTTAAATTTTCATGTGAATATGTCATTAACTTAATATCTAACATTGTCAAATTATTACTAGAACAATACACTTACAGTTAGCTTGAATTTTAACAGGTAGATGTATACCAATAGAACTATGAGCTATTCACTTCAACACGCAGCTTGTTACTGGGCTTCTATAATAAAATGCGCAGTTATTATAATGTCACAAAGCCTGCATTATAGGTACAAATTAAAGGAGCTAAATCACTTCTATTTGGGACCTAGAAATTGCCAAAAAATTGTCGAAACGCATACAATAATGTAAATATGAATGTATGTAAACTGATTTACATTCAATCGTTTCCGCTATTACTCTAATTTCAAGTCTCAATCGAATGACAATCTCTAGCGTCTGGTTATTCCAGTCTGCACCGATAGTATTTATTAAGAATGCTCTCCAGATAAGAATATGACGTTACCGTTTGAAATGACTTGTGGAATATTTCCAGCCTCGTTCTTCGAGTCCCTTGTTACAAATGGCGCTGAAACGCATTATGATACGCGATTCGCGTACCAATGGTTAAATGTTTATTTAATCTTAAATACTGGATATCAGAAGCCCATCTTCTCCCGATAAAATCACAACATCAATGTTGATTTAAATAATTCATGTTTTCAATGTCGAGGACTTGGATGATATTGAGTTAGAGACTTACCTACTTTAAGTTACATCTAAAACCGATGTACAATCAACAATAGAGATCTTCTCAAGTAAAACGATGTGACCTCTACATTGGTTATAAATATAATGCAGTGCATATATTACTAAGCCCGCTCTCGGTCAACAAGATATGAATTGAATTTAGTAGAATATTTTTAAACACACCCAACTTATTCATTTTATTTGCGCATAACTCAAATATATTGTTGTTCAGTTCAGCCAGGTTTGTTTTTGTTAACATTAAAAAGAAACAAAGAGAGACTTCATTTAAAACAAACCTGATTTGCTAGAAACAGCCCCAGTATTAAACACGATCTAACACGAGGTTGTCAAATCATTTCATCAATTTAAATCAACACAATCACTTGGATTGATTATTGATTATCTATCTACATTAATTAATGGATAATTGGAGAAGAGTGAATATTTATGTTAATGGCGTTCGTTACTGACCCAGGTGATGAAAGTCTAACAGGTGTTAAACCCTTATTCAATAATTGGCTTCTGTGTAGAAATATTTAGTGGAATATCCGACGATCTGATTGATAATTGATAAAGCCAAACCTTGTTCAGTGCACGTGCATTACAGGCAATATCCGAACTAGAAATGAAATTGAATGAAATGGGGTTTAACGTCCTACTATTCTGCTCCGACTGGGCTAATGAAGACCGGGTATACGCCATACAGTGTGCTATGATAGAGCTTTTGTCCGGGCAGCGGCACTACAGCCCAATCTTATATCGAATTCCACCTGCCTGCCAAGGGACCTTTTACGAGTGTGCTATGATAGAAATTGCCTGGGCAATGGAACTATGACCTACTGTTTATTCGAATTCCAACTGTCACGGGATCTTTTACATGCACGGCAATGTGTACACGGGAACTCAGTTTTCCGTCCCATCCGATCGACTAGACAGCTGTCCTTGCCAGGTCCTCTGTCCTGCATCAGAACTAGACATGAATTGTAAATAGTTTTTTTTTGTCAAGAAAGTTTAGGAAATTATTTTAGTCTATAAAAATAAAAGAATGCGCGCAATAAGCCACAGTGTGTATAAGATGAAACCCTTTATTTAAAGTTATATAGCATGACGACATCGACTTTATAATACATCACTTACGTCAGGAGAATTACCCATCTAATTAAAACACAGATTTTATAGTTCAAAATTTCGTTCAACTTATATTTACTATACTAGGTTCTGAAATAGTTGTTATATGCGTTATGGTCGAATGTAAAGGATTAGCCGATGAAACGGTCTGTTGCAGCGTGTTCTTGGCGTGCGGAGCACGGACGTGCGGTACACGGAACTTTGGGTATCCCACTAGAAATATCAATGCTGATTGGTTAATCAAATGTCTGACCTTATATTAATCGAGGCCATCTAATAAAAAACGAAACGAAATAAAGATCTGTATTTTAATCCGATTGGAGAATTGCCTAAAAAGAAGACAGGATGCGGTTTTAAAAATTATTTCATGTTAGGATCCCTACATCCATCGCAGCAAGGTAGAACATGATGGGCCACAACGGGTTAATGTGAATTTGTTTTTTGAAATTGGGTTCAAAATGAAACCTTTTCTAAAAATGTCACAATTCTAGAAAGTTGAAATAAAAACGGAAGCGTAGGGTGTTTCATTTTTGAACTTTTTTTTTCACGATTGAACTCTACCATGTGCCATGCGTTTCCAATTGGCAATTGGGTCCAAACTCATCACCAATGTGAATCATTTTAAAAAAATCGGAAAAATACTTCCCGTTACGATAAAAAGATAAAACTTGGCACAATGCACAAGGATGGCACACACATGAATTTGTCAAAATTCAGGAGGGTTGCGGCCCGCTATTTTTGATAGGAAAATTCTAATATTGGCTGGTGATGAATTTGTACCCAATTGGAAATGCATGGCACATGATAGAGTTCAATCGAGAAGAAAAGTTCAATTATGAAAACCCTAATGGAGGGGTATATAGAAAGTGCCATATCTTTGTTATTTTTTTTGTAGCTAAGTCTCTAACTTAATATTTTGCCATAAAATTCCAAATTAAGAATACGAATTAGAATTCCATATAGGTCAATTTCAATCAATATTGATGTTGCAAACTTGTGGTGAAGATATGGAATCCTAATATCCAATATGTAATACACAATGAACATTTTATAATCAGTACACGAGTCGGGTAATCTATGGATATTTCTGGTGCAATTTTGTAATTAATTATTAAACATTAATTTTATTAATATGACAGAACCAAAATTAAATCTCGATGCCATCGGATGCTCGAGATTTTCAACGGATTTAAACATGATAGGCGATTAATGATCTAATTAAAAAGTGGACAATCGAGACTTTATTCACTATCTTAACAGCAATGACAACCATTACTCAGCTATTCCCCTAATGAGTAATGTGCCTGAAATTTTGAACATCTTCCATTTTCATTATCTTGGTGTTAACCACCATAGTAAAAACCATTAGCTCTTTATTCAAATCTTATAATAAACATCTTTAAAATATTACAGAAGGATAAAAAAAAATAAGTGTAGGATGTCAGTTTTTATCAAAAATATCAAATGATAGTGTTTGATTCACGTACTACACGTATGTTATTCTATTAATATATCAAGGTCGTTTTAAGGTTGTTTTCTTCGTCATGGATGATAACATTACAGGCTTTTGTATAGTTCCAGTGTCAGTGAAATGACACCATGCTTATAAAATATACAATCCTATTTTACAGAAGGGTAGGGTGGTCCAAGGTCTCCAATATGCGCTCCAATAAAAGCCAGAAAGTTGCATCTTAAATGATAAATTCTAGAGTGATCACAAGATAGGGATACACGTGACATGACTCATATATACATGGTGATTCAGGGGCGTTCGTAACGATCAAATGTAGACCAGGAAGATCCTGGTGTTGGATTTTCTGCATCAATGCCCCCTTGTCGGTTATGTAGGACGCAGGGCCTAGCAAGGAATAGCTTGTCTACCTTTAATCGTATATCTATCCTTACGGATTCTTAACTGAAATACAAACATTATTACTTATTTAGTAACTTAAACAAAATTGCCCATAAAATCTCACATAAGAAGCTAATCGCAACACAGCTGGATCTATGTTATAGATCCTTTGAATAATGAAATGTTTTTATAATTCCTGACACCAACTATCATTTCCGTTTATTGGTAGTAAAATATTGACGAATACATCGTAACAGCGGTAGCAATGACAATCAATACTCCACTATTCCCGTAACGTCGCTCAGAATGAAGTAATGTGACTGAAATTTTCAACATATTTCCTTTTCATTATCTTGTTTTTAACTATCATAGCGAAAACCCTTAGCTCTATATTCAAATCTTACATCTTTAAAATATTTGAAACATATCATTTCAAAACTTCAACTAAGTATTTATGTTACAGAAGGATAATAGAAACATGTATATGAAGTCAGTTTTTATAAAAAAAAAATAAAGTAATAGTGTTTGATTCACGTGCTACACGCATGTTATTCTATTAATATATCAAGGTCGTTTTAAGATTGTTGTCTTCGTCATGGTTGATAAAATTACAGGCTTTTGTAGACCAGGTAGATCCCGGTGTTGGATTTTCTGCACCGATGCCCCCTTGCCGATGATGTAGGACAGAGGGCCTGGCAAGGAATCGCATGTCTAACTTTGATCG